GGTGAAGGGACTAGTGAAAAAGAAGAACAAGTGTATTTGGGACGAAGCAGTGCAGGAGGCCAACGGAGGCCTGGGGGGGGACGTCAAGCAGATGTGGGAAGGGATTAGTGGAATCGTAAAAAACACCGCGCAAGGGGGGGATACAGGGGTAGCAACTTTGCGAGGTGTGAACGGTGGATTAGTCAGCAGTGGGAAGGGAAAAAGGGAAGTTCTAGCAGGACACTACAAGAGACTTGGAGTGCCCTCGGAGAATGAAGCTTTTGACCAAGCGTTTAAGAAGGAGGTGGACGCATGGGCCCAAAAAGAAGAAGAGACATCGAAGGCAGACGTTGGGAACGTAGAACTAGAAAAGGAGTTCACTGAGGACGAGGTTGAGGCGTGTGTGAACAAGCTGAAGTGCCACAAAGCAGCAGGAGCGGATGGGATAGTCAACGAGTTCATGAAGTTTGGGGGGAAGGGGATGATCCAGCTGATGGCACTGCTATACAATTGGGTGTGGAAAAACGAGTATACGCCAAGTAGATGGAGGGAAGGAGTGGTTGTGAACTTGTTCAAGAAAGGAGACAAGACTGACCCAGGAAACTACAGGGGGATCACACTGTTGAACACAGTAGGAAAAGTGTTCTGTAAGCTGCTGAACGATAGGATAGTGGGAGTATTGGAGAAGGAACATAGCATTAGTGAGGGCCAGGCAGGTTTCCGCAAGAAGAGGGGGTGCGTAGACCACGTGTTCACGGTAGGGAGAATCATCCAAGGTAGAAAGAGGGCGGGAAAGCCGACGTACTGCTTCTTCCTGGACGTGAAAAAGGCATACGACACCGTGTGGAGAAATGGGTTGTGGAAACAACTGTCCAAATACGGGATCAAGGGGAAAATGTGGAGAGTGCTGAAGAAGATGACAGAGTGTACGAAAAGCGCGGTCATGCTAGACGGAGAACTGTCAAAATTCTTCGACATTGAGCAGGGGGTCCCACAAGGTTGCACGCTGTCCCCAACATTGTTCCAGGTGTTCATCAACGATCTGTTGGAAGTCGTAGAGGCAGTCCGGAAGGGAGTAAAAGTAGGGGACACGGAAACGTCGGTTTCAGGAATGCTGTTTGCGGATGATTTTGTCGGTATGTCGGACACCCCTGAGGGACTGCAACTGCAAATTGACGCGGCGAAGAAGTTTACTGATAAGTGGAGATTGTCTGCCAACGTTCAGAAGAGTGCCGTCATGGTTTGCAACGAGAACAAGGAGGAACCAGTAGAACATAGATGGAAGTGGGGGATCGAGGAGATTGCAGTAGTGGACCAGTACACATACCTCGGAGTAGAGATCGCAAAAGACTGCTCGTGGAATGCACACATGTCCAAGGTAGCGGAAAAGGGCAAAGCACGAGCAGGGAAGCTGCACCCAATACTCGCAAACCGGCACCTCGATACATGCATCAAATTGACGGTTTTGAAGAGCGTAATCGTACCGCCGCTAGAGTACGCCGGAGAAGTATGGGAAGGAAATAAGAAGGTAGTGAAAGAACTCGAGGCGGCGCAGATGAAAGCAGCGAAAACCATCCTAGGATGCTCCAGGCGCACAAGTAATGCAGCCGTGAGGGCAGAATTGGGGATCCAATCCCTACGGTCGGGAAGAGACGCGAGGAAGCTGACCTGGCAGTATCGCATGTGCGGGATGGGAGAGGAGAGGTTGCCGAGAATTGTATGGGAGGCGAAGTGGGCAAACAAAAAGAGGGGTAGACAACCCACGGAATGGGTCAAGGTTGTAGAGGACGTATGGAAGGGGCTCGACATCGACGAAGATGAAACGCTGGAAACGGAGGGTCTACAGGGGTTCAAGGAGAAGATATCTGTTGCTTGTGCCGAGAGAGAAGAACAGAATCTGAGGAAAGAATCCAAGGATAAGGAGGGTCTAGAAGTGTACGGAATGTTGAAGGAAGGAATAGGGTTCAAGGACTACCTACATGGACCAATGGATGCAGGAACAAAGCTTAAGGTCAAATTCAGGACCGGGGACATAGGCCTTCGAGAACGTCGACGAAGACATAGGACGGTAGACGAGGAAGACGACGAGTTCAAATGTGATTGCGGCTTCGAATGCGAAGACCGTGTTCATGTAGTCGCGGAATGTCCGTTGTACAAGAAGGAGAGGGAAGTGTACGTGACTGAGCTGGGAAAAATAGATGGAACGTACAGGGAGATGTTTGAGGCATGGAATAGAGAGGAAAGGACGGTAGCTGTACTGGGGCATAGGAGGTGGGTTGAAAAGGCAGGAAGGGATATCGTTAGGATAGACTATGGAAGACATTTTTGAGCCACCTTTGGCAAAGCAGAAAGGAGCGATTGGCCATCGGTGATCGGTCCTGTGGGAACAATGCTCCTTGCTCTGTAGGACGCGTGGTCAATGGTCTAAGCGCTAAGGCATGCAAAACATAAGAGTACCCCCCCCCCCTGGGGGTCTTCCCCCCAAGGTGGCGTTGGAAAAATATAACCAATCCTCCTCAGTACGTCATTTTATCCTCCGGGGGATTCGGTTTCAGAATTTAAATCGATCCCCTCCACAGGGGAAAAACTCTGTAGTTTACGGTAGTAGTGTTCAGTCTACCTGGTACATACACTGAGGAAGAAATAAAACACGCCGGACACACCCGGTGGAGCGTCCCCTACGCTCTATGTAGAATTTCCTCGCCCCCTAGTCTATGCAGCAGTCCACATACACTCAGGGTCGATTACACGGAGGGGCCGACCCGGCATGCTGAAGTCTAAACCTTATCGCCACGATCATCTATCGCAATCACGCCAGGCCACCGCTCCGTCTCCGATCGAACCGCCACTCGCAACACGAGACAGAGTAGTCTACAGTTGATTGCATACTTTCGTTTCGAGAGTTTCAGTGGAGGGACATGCCACACTGATGCCTGGTTTCTCGAGAAAAAAAGAGAGGGCCCGCACTTCGTTGTGCTGCATGGGTACAATGCGTAGCAAAAACGTGGGGCACGAGGTCCGGTGTGTCCCCGCTCTCCGTCAGGGATGGAAACCATCTCCTCGTAGTGTACGGATGGATTCGGGCATTCTGTCTTTCGTGCCGTGAGGTGTTTCCCTGTGTGTTCCGGTCGTTCTAACTCTCTCTTGCTGCTTGGTTTCTAACTCGTCGTTTGTTGTACAGGCGTAACCTTTGTTCGTTGTAGCTTGTGTGTGTTTCATCTACATCTCGCCTGTTTTGTTCGCTGCAAGAGATTAATTGTGCTGTATTTTCTCTCTTTCAAGACTGGGGAACGAGTCCTTGCCCGCGCGTTAAAAACGTCGTTCATTTAGGCGCCGCATCCTGAACCAATCGTGATCTGCAGCGTAGGAATGCTTTAGAGAGGAATCTCGATTGATTACAGATTTCTCCCGCGGCACCCTTGACGACCTGCTGTGGAGAGGATGTGGCAAGAGCCAGACTGCGTCCTGTCGAGTGGGACACGTACATGTCGTGTTGTTGGATGCGATAGGGGTTCATGAAGTGTAATGTGTTGAGAAGCACGATGACCACTAGACCGCCGATCAGCGGCTGATGTCCGAGGTCCGAATCTCCCCAAGAGCGTAAATTTCTTTGCGCCCGACATATATGGGAAGAAAAAGTCTGCGGAAATAGGCTTCGCAAAGTGAGCCGATGACCTGCTTGTTTATGGTACCGATCTGGCAAGCACAGCGCTGATTACAAGGATGGCGACCCTGGGGGTGTGTGTTGTCGCATAACAGCTTGACCGGACACGACCATTAACTCTTGTTGAGAATCATGATGACCACAAGACCACTACAGTAATCGGGTCCGCCGACCACTACAGTAGTTGGGTCCGCCAACTACTGTAGTGGTCTAGTGGTCATCGTGCTTCTCAACACATTGCACGCGGTGTGTGTCAACAACCTACTACGTGGTAGTACCGCAGCTTTCTGCATCAACTGATGGGGTTGAACCGCCTACCAACCCGTGAGGGCGAGCTAACAACGCTAACAACCCGAAACTTGTGTGTCAGCATCTCGGCATTTGGGTCATCAGTTATTTCAACAACGGTCTGCGAGTTGTGAACATGAGCCATGCTTCTGGTAGGTCTGCCTCGGTAGGTCCGCCTGAGTTGTGTCCCTAGTACTGACTGTCGTCTGCGATCGCTACTGGGAGGCATAAGATAAAGCACAAAGCATTAGAGCACTCACTCGTCGTGTTGTGCGCGCGGGGGCGGGTCAAACGATTTTTGAAGATGACCTGTCAACGCGTCGCACGAATTCCACCACGCACGGCAGTAGTTACGTCGTTGCCAAGCGACGAAAACCCAACCCCGATGGCAATCACCGGGGCGGGCGGGTGTTGTGCGCGCGGGGGCGGGTCAAATGATTTTTGAAGGTGACCTGTCAACGCGTCTCACGAATTCCACCACGCACGGCAGTAGTGTTTTGAGTATTTTCATGGTCTCTCGGACATCCGAACACGTCAACCGTACACACGACGCGCAGATGCAGACCGGGTAATACGTGACATCGTACTGAGAGCAAATACATACATACTACAACCACGTTCTACTCGTAGGCAGAGGATGATGAGCCAATCAATGCAACTTCATATATGTATCTACATTTTTGCACAAGTCAATCAAGTACAACTATCACTTCATCACACACAATCGTGCACGGCAGAGCGGAGAGCAGTCATCAGACAGCTCGATCTGCCTCGATTGCGACACCGTTGGTCTGGTGTCGATCAGCACGATACGCCACCATAAAAAGGCAGTTCCGTGTCGGAATCATGACATTTTCTTTTTCAAGAGGGTGGCGGGAAGAACCCACCGGGTGTGTTTTTTTGTTTTTCGTGGACTCCGACATCGAAGCCAGTTTTTTGTTTTTTTCTTGTCGGGTGCATCGCCATCAGCAGCACTCCACAACACGTGCACTGCATACCTACCTGCAGCCTGCGACACTAGTCCGCCCAATACGTGCCAAACAAATTATCCTCCTTACAACACACGGTACCACAAAGACACAGACTCGGTGCTGTCAGCTGCAGCTTCACAACGCAGGCAGGTCTGAAGACAACGACACGCACGTACGCCTTGCCGCTAACACAAGTGTTACCAACGCTTCTGTGCTTCCGTTGACAAGCAGCTTCGACGACATACAAAACACACGCACCCTCCGAACGCAAAGGCGAAACGTCACCAGTAAACGACTGATAACTAACAACGGTTGAAGGGTGTCAACTAACAACGGTTGCAGGGTATCTATCGTCACGCAATACATCGCTAGACACCAACGACAGCGTTTACACAAAAAACAGAAGAAAACGTCCGTTCCGTCACTCTTGGTCACGCGACTCATCCCGTTACAACCTCTCTCCGTAGGGATGGGACTGCAACACACAAACACCGCAGTAGTTCACCCCGGGGCGGGTACCCCGCTCCTCCTCGGTGCATTACTGATTAAGAGACGATCCAACCAAAAGGAATTCAGCGTATGATTGCCAACAGAGACTGTTTACGTCTACTACCTGCGACGACAACACAACTAGTTGCCATCGTACTGCAAACAACACGGAGCACAGCCCATCAGGGGGCAGAAATCTGCACTCAGCAACTGGTGGCGTACACACACAATGCAAGACTCTTCAAACACACACAACGTACACACTACGGCTGCATGAGCGCAGAGGCCTTCTAGAACGTACCGTACCACGCACAGGTNGAGCACGGCCCGCCGCCATTCTTCCGTGCTGCTGCTGGTGCTGCTGGTGCCGGTGCTGATGCTGTCGGGGGTGGAGATCGCCTCCGAAGTCCTCGCACCGCATTCCGCCACGCATGCCGGGCGGGCCGGGGGGCGGGCCGTGCGGTCGGTGGTATAGACCGGCGGGGCTTCGGTGGTGGTGCCGTCCTGCCCCGTGAAGAACGGGGCCTTGGTCCATGTCCGTACCGGCAGTGTCCCCGTCTCTCTCCAGGTGGTGCATGCCGTGGCGTTCCGGCTGGCGACGAGGGTGGGCATGGTGACCTGGGCCCATGTGCACAACAGGACCACGCTCTTCTTCACCCCCGCTGCTGTGCACACCCTCGCCGTGGANGTGGGTAGGGCTTGACGAGCGGCGGCGATCACCGTGGGCAGGACGCCTGCCGTGGCGGTGCGGCGGAGGGCCATGCGGAGGGGGGCCGCGAGGCCTACCAATCATGCCTCCACCGCNCGGTGGTGGTGGTGGTGGTGGGGGTGGTGGTGGCCGGGTCCGTGGTGGAGGTGCAGTCCACCGTATTCTTCGAACGGTCCGCGGGGCGGTCTGTGGGTAGGGCTTGACGAGCGGCGGCGATCACCGTGGGCAGGACGCCTGCCGTGGCGGTGCGGCGGAGGGCCATGCGGAGGGGGGCCGCGAGGCCTACCAATCATGCCTCCACCGCCGCGGTGGTGGTGGTGGCCACGACCTCCAGGGCGCCAGTGGTGCTGATGAGGATGACCACTCTGCCCACCTCCAGGCCTGGAACGCCGAGCCTCTTCGCGCTGAAGGAGCCCGAGCTCGACTAGGCGGTGAGGTCCTACGCCGAGCGCACGGAGCAACGGCCTGGTTTCGCGGGGCCGGAGCTGGACGCCTGCGGCAACAAACACCGCGTGGATGGGGTGCTTGCTTGCTCCGGCCTCGATGCCGATGCTGTCCTTGGTGGCGATGTTGTCGTGCTCGGTGTCGCTGCCGTCGCTGCTGTTGCTGTTCGAGCGTCCGAGACCGGGTTGTTGTCCGCATGCTCTGGCTCGACTTCGGATCCGCTGCTGCTGCTGCTGCTGCTGTCCGNTTGCTCCGGCCTCGATGCCGATGCTGTCCTTGGTGGCGATGTTGTCGTGCTCGGTGTCGCTGCCGTCGCTGCTGTTGCTGTTCGAGTCGTCCGAGACCGGGTTGTTGTCCGCTTGCTCTGGCTCGACTTCGGTGCTGCCGCCGCTGCTGCTGCTGCTGCTGTCCGTGTTGTCCGCGTCAGCGTCGCCAGCTGCTGATTTTCCCTCGAGGAGATGCTTTGGAGCAAGTCCCTGCGCCACCAGGCGGCCGGGGCGGAGCTGGAGCAGGACCATGGTCTTCTCCAGGCCGCCCGCTGTTATGGAAGGGACGCCGTGGTACTCGCGAAGGTTCCTCGCTGCAGCCTTGTACAGCAGAGGGTTCGACTCTGCTGTACGCTTGCAGCTGGGTTTGTTCGCCATGCACGCTGTCATGCTGATTTCGTTGTTGTTGTTCTTGTTGTTGTCGGTGGCCTTGCTGTGCATGGTGTTGTTGTTGTTGTTGATGCTGTCCATAGGTTGTGTGAGGAGGTGGGGGGGCGAGAGGGCGACGGGCGAGGGCGAGTGCCGGACGCGGCGTAACCTCTTCTAGAAGATGAGAAGAACGCCATTCCGCAGGTTCTTTTGGAGTCTGGGAACCGTTCTTGGTTCTTCGGGAATGAATTTCGAACTTCTTGGTTTCCCTCCCGCGGCTGTTCTTGCTCTTCTTTTTCACCATGCCCGACGCCATACGTAACCCAACGAATCCATATCAAAGCGTTGCTGATTTATCCACAGCAGTATAGAGGCCGACAACACATACAGCAGACAGCAGACAGTGCGGGTGGTCTTCGTGAGATGAAGTGTATTGCGTGAAGAAATGCAATAGAGTCTCCCTGGAACACATGCATGTACTTGAAGTGTAGAACATGCCGGACACCCGGTGGGGCGTCCCCTACGCTCTAGAATTTCCTCGCCACCCATGCATCCTATACAGCACTCCACACACACTCAGGGTTGATAACACGGAGGGGCCGACCCGGCACCCTCAAGTCTAAACCTTATCGCCACGNGTTGTCGGTGGCCTTGCTGTGCATGGTGTTGTTGTTGTTGTTGATGCTGTCCATAGGTTGTGTGAGGAGGTGGGGGGGCGAGAGGGCGACGGGCGAGGGCGAGTGCCGGACGCGGCGTAACCTCTTCTAGAAGATGAGAAGATCGCCATTCCGCAGGTTCTTTTGGAGTCTGGGAACCGTTCTTGGTTCTTCGGGAACGAATTTCGAACTTCTTTGTTTCCCTCCCGCGGCTGTTCTTGCTCTTCTTTTTCACCATGCCCGACGCCATACGTAACCCAACGAATCCATATCAAAGCGTTGCTGATTTATCCACAGCAGTATAGAGGCCGACAACACATACAGCAGACAGCAGACAGTGCGGGTGGTCTTCGTGAGATGAAGTGTATTGCGTGAAGAAATGCAATAGAGTCTCCCTGGAACACATGCATGTACTTGAAGTGTAGAACATGCCGGACACCCGGTGGGGCGTCCCCTACGCTCTAGAATTTCCTCGCCACCCATGCATCCTATACAGCACTCCACACACACTCAGGGTTGATAACACGGAGGGGCCGACCCGGCACCCTCAAGTCTAAACCTTATCGCCACGATCATCTATCGCAATCTCCTTGACACAAAGAACCAAAAACACGCCAGGCCACCGCTCCGTCTCCGATCAATAAAAAAGGAGAGGGCCCGCACTTTGTTGTGCTGCATGGGTACAATGCGTAGCAAAAATGTGGGGCACGAGGTCCGGTGTGTCCCTGCTCTCCGTTAGGGATGGAGTCCATCTCCTCGTAGTGTATGGATGGATTCGGATGTATGTTCTGTCTTTCGTGCCGTGAGACGTTTCCTGTTGTTGTTGTTGTTGTTTCTCACATTAGCTCTATAGTCCACAAAAAATGGGGAGCCCGTGTCCTCAAAACCCGGCACATACGACGCCGCGAGAAAACAAAACAAAAAAAAAATAGGGTATCTACAAACCACTTGGAAAAAGAAAACAAAATGATTGAAAGAAAAGAACAGGTATCGCACCGACCGTTCGAGAAAAGAGCCCTCGGACAACGATCAAAATAAAACAAATAAAAAAGGGAAATGGACAAAAGTGGGTATACCCACCCCTTTCTCGGACAAAAGTGGGAACTCGAAAATCCAGCGCGCGCGCACTCCATAGGCGGCACCCAAACGACTTAAAACCCCATTCTGACACCTGCGCGACACAGCCGGGGACCATACACAGCACGGGCACCGATTTTTTCCCACTTTCAGGCACACCTTTGGCCCTAATACCGCCGAGGCGCGCAGGGCCTCACCAGAGTGCCCACTTCTGTCCGACATCGCGGTGGGTATACCCACCGCCGTCAATTAATTTGTTCATGTACCCACTTTTGTCTATGTTTTGACCCACTTTTGTCCAAACTGTACCCACATTTGTCCACTTACGGACGGCGGAAATCGAGCGGAAATCGACCTCCACGTCACCGCACGGCAGAACATCGAATAGCCTCGGAACGTCTCAGAACCTCCCAACACCGTATCCATGGCATCTTTCGTATCCATGGCTGCCGACTGCGGACCAACCGCGGAGGAACATGTCAGACACATGCCAGGCCCCTTCGGTACCGGCACGGGAGGATACCAGGCACGGGAAGATGCCCGCGGCAAGCCCGGCAAGCAGCGCACTAACGGCAAACGCCACAAATATATGCGTGACACACAACGGACAACA